GACCCTGGACACTACCACCAATGAAATATCAGACCAAACCAAACCTTTAAGGTTGTGAGGTATCGAAAATCGAACTGGTGTATTTAAGTGTTTGTGAGTGTAAAATAATTAAATACATCAGTTTGATTTACATTACTCTGATGTATTCCGTTCAATTGATTTTTTTTCATTGCTTTATTATGTGTTACACTTTATACTCGAAGTTTTAATCTAGTTTCAGATTTTGGTATTTTTGGCTCACAGAATACTTTCAAAAAACAAGTAATCCTTTTGATGTGGAGTTTTTCGTTTTTCTTCACACCTTTTTTTGTTAAATGTATAAACAAAATTTATTATATAGGCTATTATTACTATATACATCTGAATTACTTGCAAAGAATATCTTTGGCGGAGAGCGTTCTAATACCTTAACTAGTTTTTGTGCTACCTTAATAACAAATAATACGTTATAACAACAGCATTTCCATTTTCTCGATTGTATATAAGTCAGTGCCTCAAAAACTAACTGAATTAACCATTTGATTTTTTTTCTGTTAGCTTTCACAAGGGCTTCTCCTACTCTGTTTAACTTTTTGTTATTCTTTACATGTGTGAATAAAACGTTTCATAAATGTTATTTTTCTAAATGCTAAAATAAATGAACACATGAGAATAAATCCAGAACTTGTTGTTTCTTTCCAGTTGTGAACGAACGTAATTTCAAACGTTTTCAATAGATGGCAGCACATTTAAATCAAACCATTTTAGTGTTTACAATTTAGCAAGTCTATTCGCAAACTTAGCGGAACAGAGTTACTAGATGATGGCATGGGTTTTAGAGAAGAAAAATAATAAACGTCAATAAGAAATCCAAACCAGTACTTACAAACATATTTTAAGTTAATAAACATCGTCCTGAAACAAAATGATAAGGTTCTATTGTACATATCTTACATTTTGAAATAAACTCAATTATGAGCCTTGGCTGTGCAACGCTCGTAGAGGAGATATAGAGTATAAAACTGTATTGATTAGCCTTAGATTTAGGATCGATATCTCTACTGAAATTTTAGTTTTCTTACTTTTTTATTTGTAAAAGTAATCAATATTTATGGTTTATTTATCATCAAGTTGGAGCAAATGATTTACGTATCAGGTAATAGCGTCATCCTAGTTTACTTAATCATTATTGATAAGCTTTTGGGTCCTCTCTGCTGAACCTTTTCAGATCAAATGAAAGAATTAGTTATGTTACTGATGCTCCGGAAAAACTATATGGCTCAGTTTTTTGAAAACAACACCAACTACAGCACCAGTAAAACATATTTATTGTTGACTGCAAGAAGTTTAATGGGTTTTTTCAGCCTTATTTTTAGATTCTCCTTCGCTGTGAATAATCCCAAAGATTATACTCTTTCGAAATATAAATCCCATTATATCCTTCAATCTTGTCACTCAGGTGAACTGACACTATCTTAATTACATAAGTTAGTTTTTGTTTTGTAGTTATGCACAAAGTTACACAATGGGCTATCTGTGCTCTGCTCACCACGGGTATCGAAACCCGGTTTCTACTGTTGTAAGTCCGCAGACATACCGCTATGCCAATGGGGGGGGGGAGCAATTATATAAGTATATTGTTGAAACGATTTATATTGTTGAGCAAATTCGTTTGAATTACTCTGTAAAAAAGAAAAGAATGCTAAGTCCAATCCTTTTAATGACAATAAAAACGTCTTGTATCTTCGACTTCTGTAGATTTGCTTAACTATTGTTCACTGATAGGTAGGCCTAAATTCACTTGGTCGCTGATACAAGAATTTCAATACAAAATGTATTTTGTACAAATTCGTATAAAACAGTATTACTATTTTTATTACAATCTCACTTACTTGCTAATTTCCCTTGTATTTAAGATACTTTCGCTCATGTCTATTACTCCGGCGAAATATAAACTCAGTATTGAAAAATTTAAAGTAAATGACAGTAACAAACAAATTTTCTAACTCAATAATCTACTATGAAAAAGTCACAACATCATTAACAAATTTTCTCTAGCCTAACGTGTTTTTATATAGTTTAAATTATTTCCTAAGGTTTCAGATCATTAAGCCATATTTATAATTTGACATCAAAACTTCCTCCAGACAAACAACAATATAAATGTCTTAATTAGAGTAAAACAGAACCTATAATAATGTTATTTTCTTTAGTGACACAATACTGGTTTACCATATGAAGAGCGTATATTAACATTTGAAATACAGTACTTTATTGTACGCCGCTGTCGACAAGGCCCTTCACTCAATATCTGAAGTAATTAGGCTGACTGCGTTGAAATATGTCAAGTTAGTCGCTGTCATATCAGTCTGTATGATCACCTAAGTATAGTTATTTGTTTGGCCTAATAGAATGTATTTCTACCCATCCCCGTTGGCTTAGCGGTAAGATCAATGCTTGTATGTTAAATATTCGGGTTTTGATACCCGTGGTGGCAGAATACAGTTAGCGCATTTTGTAGCTTTATTTTTAACAACAAACAAAACGAGCTTCCCTATTAACGTTTATTTTCAGTACCAGAGCATACATATATTTGAACATAAAGGTTGTATTTATTATAATATAATAAAAACCTGAATTTGTTGATATGCTGGAAAGTAATTTATGAGATTGTTTTGACTGTGTTTTTTAGTTTTATTTAAAGACAGTATAAATTATATATCATTAAGTAATTAGTAAGCTTTGAAGACAATTTTAACTAAAAAAGAAGGTATAAATATACATTAATGTTTTAGAAGTCTCCAGGTTGAATGCAGAATGTGTATAGCATTTAATCAAAATATTTACAAAACATAACTATATTTAACTGAAATTTTGCAGAAAATCAACAGGTTTTTAGTGTATTTTTGCCAGTAAACAAATAAAAGCGCAGATATCTAGATTATTGTTATATTTTATCAATTGCACCTGAAAGGAAAGTGTTCTAAGAACTTAGTGGTTAACATACCGCAATGTGCACTTGAGACACATTGGTTCGGGTCCCGTTGTAACAAAACACGCTCCGCACTTTAGAGCCGTGAGTGTGTTATAAGAGTGGCAGTAAAATCCCATTATTTGATTAAGAGCATCCCAAGAGTTTTGGTGAGTGCTGTTGACTAACTGCCTTCCCTCTAATATATCAGTTACAGATTAGGTATGGCTTGCGCAAATAATCCTTTTATATCTTTGTGCTAATATACAAAATAGGTAAAATAATCCTTTTATATCTTTGTGCTAATATACAAAATAGGTAAAATAATCCTTTTATATCTTTGTGCTAATATACAAAATAGGTAAAATAATCCTTTTATATCTTTGTGCTAATATACAAAATAGGTAAAATAATCCTTTTATATCTTTGTGCTAATATACAAAATAGGTAAAATAATCCATTTATAGCTTTGTGCTAATATACAAAATAGGTAAAATAATCCTTTTATAGCTTTGTGCTAACATACAAAATAGGTAAAATAATCCTTTTCAACGCACAGAACAGAGTGAATCACTTTTCTAAAGTCAAACTTAAGCCTTAGTTGCCTTGTGATTATAAGCTAGTACAATTTAATTAAATTTATTTCAAACCATTACGTATTTACACAGTCAAATACGAAAACACTAAAATATCAGATGACACAGTAGTGCTGAAATAAGTCTGGTTTTATCTGATGGTTGATGGCACTTCGTAGCTTACATACTGCTCTTACCAACCTAATTGTGCAACATATAACCAATTCTTAAAAATAAAAAACAAATAACATTAGCAATATGCTTAAAACCAACAATGTTTATAAGCAGGGTTGCCAGACATTTCTCTCAAAATCCATATATTGGATATAAAAAATTCCCCCCCAGAACATATGTTCAAGAATGAGACTAAAAACATCTTATTATTATTTTTACAAACTATCATTAGGTTACTTTACATGGATATCAAATATGAATGAAATAAAATTGTTGGATATATTTATATGGTTTTAGGCACACAAAAAACAGAAACTATTTAAGACGAAATGAAGCATTTTGATACAAAAAAGAAAAAAATCGTTTCATAAAGAAATTTCCTAAATTTCAAAGCCTGAAAGACTACACAAGTACTAAAATAAACTATTATTTTTTAAGCACAAACTAGATATTATGTAGAAAATGTGTACCAAATTTCATGGAATTAGGTTAAGTATTTTAAGTATGAGAACAAAACAAACAGAGGTGACACAATGTCATACGTGCGGTCCTGATAGTGTT